TTTTTCCCTTTCTCCAGATGTACATTCGCAATATTTAGGTTGAACACTGACACACATAGCTAGGTTATTGAGAGAAACTCGGTATTCTCATACTATTGTAGCTGTTGCTTTTACTAGAGATTTAATAGCAGCTTGGTTGTCTGAGAAGAATGCAATATTTATATCGGGGATCTATTGCACAAAACCCAATCTAATTGCAATATTAGAAATTTATTTTGAAACAATAATTTGCGTTTTCATTCGTTGACCAATTAGCATATTCCATGATTAATTTATAATATTCAATCAAGTGATATTATTTCTTATATGTGATTATAGGTAAATAATTTAGAAAGTTATAGAAGTAAAAACAACTGATAAAATTGAGATGGAGTGTGTTATCACTCTTATAAAACATTTAAAATGATTATTATTTGAAAAAGTTATTAAATTATTTTAATTTATATCATTATGCTGATGTAATAAATTTTAAAACTCTTCTTAATTTTTAATGCAAAATTTATTAAAATTAGATACAAGTTACAATTTTTAATACATTTTTTAATGTTAAAAATTTTGCATTCAATACTGAACTTAAGCAGTGAGACTGGAATCAAATTCTTTGATGACATATGTCAGCTTTTTGATAAGCATATCAATATCCTTATCCGTATTCTGGTGATAAAATACAGCACGTGCGTATTTCCAATTGCGGGAACTCATCTGCACAACAATACCCACTTTTCCAGCCTCATCTGAGGTGACACCTTGCTCCAATTCCTCAGGTTTTATCTCCTTCAAACGTGAACAAAATTCATTTGAGGATAATTTCGAATTCAATATATCAATTAGGAGAATGTTAGTCTGTACATTTGGTAGATCAACGGTGAAGTTTGGACTTTTCAAATTATGCACAGCTAAATAAGATGAAAAAGAAAATATTATTAGTTTTGAAAAATAATAATATAAAATCAAAATAAATGCATTTAAGAGCAGCGAAAATTGTTAAAGAAAATGCAATAAATTTTCTCAGTGCATAAAATGTTTTACTGCATCTAAAATGCACGCTGTACACTTTCCCACTAAATAGCGTAATGGCATCTAACAATTTTTGTAGTCACTCCTTAAAATGCAACATTTGTTGCAACTACAATTAGGTGCAGCCATTTATGTTCAGATGAGGGCTCATATCTCATGCGATGCATGAAGGCATAAGAATTGCAGTCAACAATTCACAGAAAGTCATTTCTTTCAATTGCCTGCCATTTGGAGCTTTGTTGTTGCTCATAAATATTCAAGTTGACGAAGTCGTTTACCTACCTTCAGCTACACGTTTTGTCCTTTGATGATCACCACTCAAGCGTGGCACAACTGTCTCAAGTCCCACTAAACCAGCGGCAGCCAAAATACCAGCTTGACGCATGCCACCGCCCAAAGCCTTGCGCAAACGGTGTGCTCTATAGGAAGTGAGGAAAAAAATTTTAAAAGTAAAAATACAAAACAAAAACAAAAAAAATTAGAAACGAAAAAAGAAAATGGAAAACTTTTATTTATGGAAAAACTGAGAAAAGTTAGCGGTGTAAGGTGTAAGGAAACCCGCACTGCAGTCTAAAGTTTCAATTGTTTAACAGACTTTTTCGTTCTGTTGACTTGTATTATTTTAATACATTTTAATTCAAAGCAATAAAAATATGGTAAGTGATTATAATTCAAGGGCACTCACTTTGCAATAAAAGCTTTTGAGCCCATTAACACTGAACCCACTGGTGCTGAAAGTCCTTTACTCAAGCAGTAGCAAACGGAATCAAAATCACGCGTTATACGCGCCACTGGTATTTTCAGTGCCGCTGCTGCATTGAAGATACGTGCTCCATCCATGTGCAATGCTATCGGACTGTGAGTTGCAGCAGGATCTTTGACAACTTTCACTAGCTCATTTAGCCACTCAAGTGGCAGTACTTTGCCTCCGCACATGTTATGTGTGTTCTCGACTGATACCAAGCAAGTGATGGGCTCATGGCAATCGTCATAACGAATCTTGTTTCGCAATTCACTGAGACTGAATGTACCATCGACTTCATTTTTAATTGTGGCTAATTGAACTCCTCCAATTTGTGCTGCTCCACCTGTAAAGTGAAGGATTCATAAGTTGAATATATATAAGCTGATGAGCGATTTCAGTTTTATGCAATGAATTGCTTGCGCTTTTGTGCAGGTGTAAGCGCAAATATGAATTAGGGTTCTTCATAAGTTTTCAGTTAAGATATAATGGAAATAAAATAAATTGCGTTTTAAGGTCATTTTTAAGACCATCTAAGATCAAATAGTTTCCTTTTTTTCAATTAGATATAAAAAAAAATAAAATTGGATATTAAATAAAGTATTTAAGTCTCTGTAGGATATACACAGACAACTTTATGAACAGAGGAAAATAACCTAAGACAGCTGGAGTGAGAGCACACTCTGCAAACCCATCAGTTTGAAAAAATAGGAAATGGGTGGCGTAACTAAACCACAGATTCGTCAGTTATATGATGATGAAGATATTTTCGAACAAAGACCAATCTTCGAAGATATTTTGCTTTCATATATAGAAGACCAGATGCGTCCAAGGCCAAGAAAATATTTAATTTTTATATTTGAACTAAAACCAAACACACAAATAATCGTGCAAAATTATTAAGAGACGCACCAAAGGGAAATATGTTGATGTCAAAATTACAAAGAAAAGAGTAAACAAAAGACTAAAATCATGTGTTGAGCAATTGTTTTACAAGTTTGTTCGACAATGTTTTCGAAGACGACTTTTCCAACTGGGTATTTAACATACATACAATTTGATGAACACATACAGACCAAAGTGAAATAAAGAGAGCGTTACTCGACACTTACAGAGTTGCCAGGCAGTATCCTAACACATTCAATAAAAAAGGCACTATATCCCTGCTATTGTTATATTGAAACAACTGTTAAACGCATATTAATATTTTTACCGAGCATTTATCGAGCATAAGATAAATACTATTAACAGTGACAAATGTAGAAAGTGTAATGAATCGAGTGTTACAGACACTCTGTTATATCTTTACTGTTTTAGGTCGGCTCTTTTCAAATTTGAATGTAATTCTTTAAAACGACAATTTTTAATCGATTTAACTTCGACTCTGATATTCGACTGAACTATTAATTCAAGTCCACACACATCTTAAGGTATATGTACCGCCTCTGATATATAAGGTCTATACAAGGTTTCGACAAGTTAGCTTCACCTTCCCATTCAGCTGCATAACACTTTTAAAAAGTTAATAGTAATATAATTGTGGAATTAGTTTATTTATTTTTGTAGTATCGAATAAGTGAGGTCTGTGGGTGTATACCAAAAATTGAATATGATAGCATAAAACTAACAAGGGATTCATGATCAAATTTCCTCGAAGACTGTCATATTAAATGATAATGTTATGTCTTAATGTAATAATTGTTATTTAACCTATTTAACCTATAATAAATATTCATATTGTTTTCTAATTATTGCTTATCCTCTCCAGAAACTGAAACATTAAATTTTTAAATATATTGATAGATAACACATGTTTAATGTAACCAATAGTTTGATCCAAACATTGTTGTTCTAAGAATCTGTTGTTAGTTTGGGAATAATACAGTTAATCTTGAAATTCAGCTCCTTTTTGTGATTTATTACAGTAAATTTTTCATTACATACTTAATTTATTAAATAAACAGTTATGTTCGCTTAGAGACAGATCACAGATGGTTAACAGTTCGATTAAAGTATATATCAATCATTTTCTTTGCATCTCTGTCAGTGTTTCCCAAAGTGGGGCCTATCCACCGTGGGAGGGAAACTTGATAGCTAAAAAAGCCAATTTAATTAATCTTAATCTTTAACATTGAACTTAGACTGACTTGACGTCCTGATATTAGTCGAACAGTCCCGATTTTGGGCATGTTTTGCCATTCAAGAAGGAATGTAGGAGTGAAAAAGATAACAGAGATTATTTTATTAATGAAGTTAAATAAAAATAAAGGCATAAAAATTCTTTAAAATCTAGCATGGAACATACTACGTTCGGAAACGCCGGTCACAATCCTTAAAAAAGTATTTCCTAAAATCGAACGTTTCACAAAGTCTTTTATCAACTTTTGTATAACTTTTGTATACACAAAATAAAATAAAAAGTTTTAAATAAATTAAAAAAAAATTTTCAGAAAATATTTGTTAAATTTTTCTATATTTCGAAGTATTTCAAAATAAATCTCTATTTTCTCTATTTCAACAGTTATAGTCAACAGTTCACTGCAAATACTTCAGAACCTAACAAACTGCACTCAAACATACTAAAAGCTCTCAAAATTTTTATTTTAATATTTTATAACATTTTTTTTTTCAGTTTTTTTTTTTTGGATAAAGGAAAGTTCTTTAACTTTATTTTCTCTACAATAACTTCAATAAAACTTTGGTCAATATTGATCTAAATATTTGTACTACATACGTTTTCAATATTGACGTTTGTAATATTTTATTTCTAACATTCAATTATATTTAGTTGTGTGTAACTGCTATGTTGTGATAAGTTAC